GGGAAAATGTATGCAAATGTGGAAGGTGTTAAAGAGGACATCGAAATGTTTATTGCCTCAAAGTCAATGATTTCTTTAATCAGGGCATTAACAACCTGATTGTAAGATGGAAAAGCATCATCAATAAGAATGGAGATTATTTCACTTAATAAATGATTTGTTTTGATATACAAGTTAATCGGTCGGGTTTTTCATCTAAAAAAATGCGACATTAATTTCTTGACGACCTAATATTTATTTTACAAGTTATTGAAATTGGACTTTTGTTCTTTGTTTTTCAAAATTATACATATACCGCAAAAACGATTAAATTTAAGAAGCCAAAAAAAATTTGTTCCAGAGATATCTTACTGTTTCAGCTAAAGAAGAGAAACTCAACTGTCCAACTGATGAAACTACATTAGGTCAGCATTTATGCCATGATTTTACAGACTGTCATCGATATTTTACTTGCTGTCAGTCTTCAGCCAGCTCAAAGAAGATCTGTTTGCCAAGAATGGACTTCCAGATCAACTGGACAGCTTTGGAAAAACAGTAGGTGCTATGATTCCGTACGGATATTAAAGTTTATTGAATTATTTGATTTAGTTATGTAATAATTACGTTCACGTGTGTTAAATATTTATGCAAGCAGATGGTTTTCCTGTACTTTTATTTAGATAACATTGAAGTCGATTAGGTTTGGTCTCTAAGTAGTTGGTAATTAACTTAAATTTACTGTACACTGAATAACGTTCGGTAAACATTGAGGTATGAGATGCTTTCGTTCTGTAAAACATTTCCTGGTCTGAGGCTTTTGTTTTCTTTAATAGACACCGAATCTTATGTCCCGCTTCTAAGTAATATTACATTACATGACTCGTTTTTTCATGAACATTTAGTCACATATTTCCTATGTTTATTAAGTACCGAGTTTTGTGGTTTTTTTGATCAGTAAATCTTAAGTTATATGCTATCTTGGTTAGTAAACACTGTGGTATTTGATGCTTAAGTTTGTAAGTATCTTCTGTTCCTTTGCTCAGCAAAGGTGTTAGGTGATGACTTTTTTGTACAGTTGACATTGTGTAATGAGGTGATTTTATTCAACAATATTATGTTTTATATTCCTCTTCTTTATTAAATAAACATTCGTTTACACAATTCAGTAAATTTGTTGCATGAGGCGTTTGTTTAACGAAAATTAGGTACCTCATACTTTTGTTCACTAATCGTTTTTTATTTTGTGTGTTTTTATGTCCAGTAAATACTGTGTTAGATAGGATTCTGTTTAATAAGGGTTCAGATGTATGGGTTTTTGTTAAGTAAACATTTTCTGATGTAATACTTTGTCAGGTAAACATTAAATATATTGTTATTGTTACGTATTACAATTTCGAATGGTCTGAAACCGAGCTAAATGATAATTTAAATTTAGCACTTAAATAAATGCCGATATGTATCCAATTTATGATATTTGCCAACAAGATTAATACATAGTTTTCTTTTTTAATACAAACATGTTTTAATACACAAACAGCAACACAATTTACAATAACAGTTATTACAAATAGTTATTACAAACAATTATATATATATATATATATATGCACACACACACTTTCTAGTCTGGAACTTTATCTTATCGAGAGTTCACGATGAGCGAGTTAATTTCGAGTTGACGTAGGTACAATTCACTTAATAGGGAGCTAGCTAGCTCTGTAGTTCTCGCTGATCACACGTCGATTACAGATCGAGCTTGAGTATTTTACCGCTGAAGTTATATAATATCTTCTTAAATGTACTAATGTCCGATGTGAATCCACTGAAGTTAAATGGTTTGCAATGTTCGAAATTTATAAATGTTTCTAGTCAAATATCTGAAGTGGCCCGATTAATAAGCGCTATAGCAATCACAGTTATAGCTTCCGAAGTTTATAGCGCACCAACTATAGCAAACCAATAATAGATGCTGTTTTTAGGCGCGTCGCGTTGGTTATATTTATAGGCGTGTGGAGAGCTGCTCGAAATTTCAGTAACACAACAGTACAAACGCTACATAGCGTAACGATATAAAGTTACATTAAGCGTTTACGTACACACTATATGTTGATTCTTACACTCGAGAATCTTCTACAACTTTAGAGAATAGGCGAGAATTTCGCAATACAGGTTTAGCAGTGTAAGTTATGTACATTTCTGAATATAAATTTAATTTAAACATGCATCGATATTAAAGTAAATATATAATAGTAAATCCGTCACATTATGTGACGCTTATGTTTGCTGAATGCAAAGTTTTAGTTTGTCTGAGAGCAAAATGCACAATGGGCTACTTGTGCTGCCACCCACATGGATCAGCCTCCGAATTTTAGCGTTCTAATTTCTGAAACACTGTCTGATAATCCGTTAGTGAACTTTGAGAAATACAATGGTTCTTAGGAAATATTTTCAGTGCTGCGATTTCAGTAACTAGAAAGGTTGCATTATTTCAGTTAGTATTGTGATTTGCAGAGTTTTTTGCCTACTTATCACTGATCAATAATCAATATATTGAATGGTAGTTCAGTTTTAGCTTTGTTTCTATACGATTTCGTGTATTGAAGTACTGATTTTTACGTCTGTTTTTGTAATTTCGATATCTGCGATGCTTCTTATCTGAAACCATAGATTTATAAATTGCTTTTAATTTGCTGCCTTTGCGTAGTTTTGTTTTCTAAAAAGTGCCTTTTTCTTTCTTCCGCAGCTATCCTTGGGATGTAAGATTATGTCCTGTTACTTACTTTATATTTATTTAATACAAATATTTTTTTTCTTGAGAGCTGAAAAATTTCTTGGGTCAAACATCCTATTTATTTTAATAGCCTCGTATCTTGGGAAGGATATAATACGAAATCGTAATCAACAAACAATGTTGAGAAACGTATTTTTCATCAGTCCATGTTTTTTTTTCAAAGTTGAAGCTCTTTATAATACCACCAGTTTTATATTTTAATTTATATAGCTTTGTTTATTTGAAGTTAAGCACAAAGCTACACAATGGTCTATCTGTGCTCTGCCCATCACGTGTATCGAAACCCGGTTTCTAGCGTTGTAAGTCCGCAGACATGCCGCTGTGCCACTGGGGGCAATTGAATAGGAAGCTATGAAAATATTTCTTCGGTATTAGCATGAAGCTTAAGCTAATATAAAAAAATTAGTATTTTTATAAGTATTATTTAGTATTATATATATATATATAATATTATTTACTTTATATTGAGTATATTTTGTTTCTTTCATTCTTTAATTATTTATAGGAAGAATCAAATGGCTTCGGTAGGAAGAATAAGCAAATGTCATGGTAAGTATGATGCAAGGTTTGTTCAGATGTCATTATCAGAATTTAAAAAATCTGAATTTTGACAATTGTCAAAATAAAATGGCTTTTAGTTGTATTTTTTAATAGTGTGTATAAGTTTATGTATTTATTTGTTAAAACTTTGCTAAAGATCTTCATGTTGATGTTTAACGTTATATAATGTTAACAATACTGTACATCTTTGTTTGTACACTTTAACATTGTGACGTAGGAATATATACTGTGTTTCTTCAAACAGTGTCAGAAGAATATATATTGTGTTTCTTCAAACAATCACAGGAGAATATAAGTCAACTTATTAATTTGGTATTTTTTTTATTTTTAGGTGCACAATCAAATCTTTACTGGATAGCTCCAAAAGCATCCAGTTATGAAAGTGAAACTGAAGATCATTTTGATGTGCATT